ATAGCAGGATCATCTGGATTTTCTGATTTTAGTTTTTTGAGAAATCTTCATACTGATTTCCATAATGGTTGTAATAGTTTATATTCCCACCAAGAATATATGATGATTCCTTTTTCATCACAGCCTCTGGAGCATTTGTAATTTTTTGATTTGTTGTTGATTGTCATTCTTTGTGGAGTAAGGTGGAATTTTAGTGTTTTAATTTCATGTCTTTAATGGCTGGAAATGTTAAACACTTTTTCATATATTTGTTTGCCATTTGTACTTCTTCCCCTGTGAAGTGTCCATTTCACTTGCCCTTTCTCGACTGAGTCTTCTGTTTTAGGTGGTCTAATTTTTTTGAGTTTTTTATATATTTTAGATATTAGTCCTTTGTCTGAGGAGTAGCTGGCAAATTTTTTTCCCATTCTGTAGGTTGTCTGTTTACTAATTGAATTCCTTGCTGTACAGAAGCTTTTCAATTTGATGTAATCCCATTTCTTGATTCTTGCTGTTATTTCTTGGGCAATTGCAGTTCTGTTTACAAAATACTTTCCTACATCTATGGCTTCAAGTGTTTTATCTATTTTATATGCCAGTGGGTTCAGTGTTTCTGTTTAGATCTTCGACTGATTTTGATTTTAATTTAGTACTTGGTGAGAGGTATGGGTCCAGTTTCAATCTTCTACAAACAGTTATCTAGTTTTCCCAGCACCACTTGTTGAATAGGCTGTCTTTCCTGAACCGTGTAACAGGATACTAGATCAGCGCACAAAAGTCATTACCATTTGGGTACACCAATAATGAACTTAAGAAGGAAATTGTGAAAACAATATCATTCACAGTAACTGCAAGAAAAATGAAATACCCAAGAATTAACCTAATCAAGGAATTGACGGACCTCTACAAACAAAATTAAGTACTTTGAAATGAGATTGAAAGGATATCAGAAATGGAAAGATGTCCACTGCTACTGGATAGACAGAGCAAATATCATCAAAATAGCCATACTCCCAAAACTGTTACACAGATTCAGTGCGGTCCCAATCAAAATACTAAAAACATACTTTACAGATCTAGAGAAAAACAGTCCTAAAATTCATATGGAACTAGAAAAGCAGTTTTGGGCAATAAGAACAAAGCAGGAGGCATTATAATATCTGACTTCAATCTATGTTATAAAGCAGTGGTGATGAAAACAGCCTGGTGCTGGAACAAAAACAGATATGTGGATCAGTCAAACAGAATAGAGGATACAGAAACATCACAGACACATTCAGCTATTTGATCTTTGACAAAGGGGTCAAAAGTATACATTGAAGAAAAGATAGTATTTGTTGGATTTTGATAACTTGTTTAACTTCCTTACTCATTATCAGTCTGTTCAGATTTTCTTTCTTCATGATTTAGTTTTTTGAATTTTTTTTGTTTTTTTGGTTACCGGGGATTGAACTGGGGTCCTTGCGCTTGCGCAGCAGTTCATGATTTAGTTTTAGTAGGTTGTATGTGTCCAGGAATTTATCTGTTTCTTCTAGATTATTGAATTTGTTGGCATATAACTATTCATAATAGACTCATGATCCTTTGCATTTCTGTGGGGTTATTTGTAATATCTCCTATTTCATATCAGATTTTATTTGAGTTGTATTTTTTCCTAGCTTGACTACAGATTTGTCAATTTTATTTATATTTCAAAGAACCAACTCCTAGTTTCATTGATCTTGTCTATTGTTTTTATCACTATTTTATTTATTTTTAATCTGATCTGTATTATTTCTTTCCTTTTACTGACTTTGAGTTTAGTTTGTTCTCCATTTTTCAGTTTCTTAAAGTGTAACTGATGGTGTTTATTGGAGATCCTTTCTTTTTTTCTTTTTTTTGATGGAGCCATTTGTTCCTCCAAACTACCCTCTTAAAACTAGTTTGCTGCATCCTATAAGTTTTGGTATCCTGGCAAGTTATTTTTAGGTTTCTTCTTTGACCTGTTAATTTAAACACATTTTTACACTTTCTGAGTTTCCTCCTTTATTTATAATTTTGTAACATTATGACCATACAGATACTTGATTTGAATTAGTTTTGTTAAATTTGTTAAAACTTGTCTTGTGGCCTAACATGTGCCCGATCCTGCAGAATGTTTCCTATGAGCTTGAAAAGAATGAGTCAACTGCTATTGGATAGAATGATCCATTTACCTATTAAGTCCATTTGGTCTAAAGTGTAGTGTCCTTATTGATTTTTCTGTCTGGATGATCTCTTCATTGTTGAAAGTAGGGTATTAAAGTTTGTTCTCATTGTATTTTAGTTTATCTGTTCCTTCTAATCAACTATCTGGTTTACATATTAAGGTTTTCTAATGTTTGGGACACATCAATTGTTTTAATTTGATCCCTTTATCATTATGAAGTAACTTGGTCTTGTCTTACAGTGTTTGACTTAAAGTCTGTTTTATGTGATATAAGTACCCCTATTCCTGACTGTCTTTTGATTTTTATTTGCATGGAACATCTTTTTACATTTATTTTCCATGTACATGTGTTAAAGGTGAGGTGAATCTCTTGTGAGGAACATATAATTAGGTCTAGTTTTAAATCCATTTAGCCTATCTGTATCTTTGGTGGCACTGTTTAATTCATTTACCTTCAATAATTAACTTGACTATACCCATTTTAAAATTTTACATGTTTTAAAAGATCCTTTGTTCTTTTCTGCCTTCATTTATAATAAATTACTTTCTATAAGTGATGTTTTGATTCCTTTTTTTTGTTTTGTGTATATATCGTAGATTTTTGCTTTCTAGTTACTGTGAAGCTTAATATGATATCTTATAGTTATTAAAAACTATTTTAAACTGATATAAACTGAATTTTGGTTACAAAAATAGTTCTACACTTCACTCTCAATCTCATTTCATGTTTTTGATGTCACAATTTATATCTTTATTCTAAAATACTCGAAACTATAACTTGAAAATGGTCTCAGTGTAACAGATTGTAAAAAATATCCCTAGGTAGTGAGCTGGTGTGAAGGTAACTTTCACTTTTAAATTATATATTGTTTTCAACATTTTTGTTAACAAGCATGTTTATCTTGTTAAAAAGAAAATGAGTAAAAATATGTAAACTCTAGCTTTATCAAGGAGCTAAACAACATTAATGAGATTTTAAAAGTATAGTTGGCTTTAATAACTCCTTTTTGATACTTCTACTTTTATGACCATTTTAGAACCACTTTCTTCAAAACTGTAGAATTTTGTAAATATGAAGAGTTTTGAATCCATTTTCGTTTTCTATTAGTTGATTTGAGTATTTCTGATGAGCTGTATAGGAAGCCGCCAGAGTTTCAGTGACAAGTTAGAGGAGAGACAGATGTGGCCTGGTGCATTTAAAGACTAGTAACAGATTTCTAGAGTTGGTCTTTATAGCCTAAATTTTCTTTTTTTTTTTTT